GGGGGGGCGTGGGTGGGGGGGTGGGGGGGGGGGGGGGGGGGGGGGGGGGGGGGGGGGGGGGGGGGGGGGGGGGGGGGGGGGGGGGGGGGGGTGGGGTGGGCGGGGGGGGGGGGGGGGGGGCGGGGGGGGGGGGGGGGGGGTGGTGGGGGGGGTGGGGGGGGGGGTGGGGGGGGGGGGGGGGGGGGGGGGGGGGGGGGGGGTGGGGGGGGGGGGGGGGGGGTGGGGGGGGGGGGGGGGGGGGGGGGGGGGGGGGGGGGGGGGGGGGGGGGGGGGGGGGGGGGGGGGGGGGGGGGGGGGGGGTGGGGGGGGGGGGGGGGGGGGGGGGGGGGGGGGGGGGGGGGGGGGGGGGGGGGGGGGGGGGGGGGGGGGGGGGGGGGGGGGGGGGGGGGGGGGGGGGGGGGGGGGGGGGGGTGGGGGGGGGGGGGGGGGGGGGGGGGGGGAGGGGGGGGGGGTGGGGGGGGGGGGGGGGGGGGGGGGGGGGGGGGGGGGGGGGGGGGGGGGGGGGGTGGGGGGGGGGGGGGGGGGGGGGGGGGGGGGGGGGGGGGGGGGGGGGGGGGGGGGGGGGGGGGGGGGGGGGGGGGGGGGGGGGGGGGGGGGTGGGGGGGGGGGGGGGGGGGTGGGGGGGGGGTGGGGGGGGGGGGGGGGGGGGGGTGGGGGGGGGGGGGGGGGGGGGGGGGGGGGGGGGGGGGGGGGGGGGGGGGGGGGGGGGGGGGGGGGGGGGGGGGGGGGGGGGGGGGGGGGGGGGGGGGGGGGGGGGGGGGGGGGGGGGGGGGGGGGGGGGGGGGGGGGGGGGGGTGGGGGGGGGGGGGGGGGGGGGGGGGGGGGGGGGGGGGGGGGGGGGGGGGGGGGGGGGGGGGGGGGGGGGTGGGGGGTGGGGGGGGGGGGGGGGGGGGGTGGGGGGGGGGGGGGGGGGGGGGGGGGGGGGGGGTGGGGGGGGGGGAGATTCCATCCTCCCCTTAATACCATTCCTCCACTTACTCCAGTTCGTCGAGTTCCTCCACTTCCTCAACTTTGTCCACTTCGTCCACTTCGTCTAGCTCCTCGACTTCCTCCTCTTCCTCAACTTCCTCAACTTCGTCCACTTCCTAGTCTTCGTCAACTTTGTCCACTTCCTCCACTTCCTCGACATCTCCATTCTCCACTTCGTAGACTTCGTTAACTTCGTCCACTTCCACAACTTCCTCAACTTCGTCCACTTCTTCGACTTCATCCACTTCGTCCACTTCTTCCACTTCCTCCACTTCCTCCACTTCCTCCACTTCTTCCACTTCATCCACTTTTTCCACTTCCACAACTTCCTCAACTTCGTCCACTTCCTCCACTCTACCACTTCCTCCATTTCCTCCACTTCCTTAACTTCCGCAACTTCGTCTACTTTTTCCCACTTCCACAAACTTCCTCAATTTCGTCCACTTCCTCCACTTCTGCACTCCTTAAACTTCCTCACTGAGTGTCCACTTCGTCTACTTCGCCTCTTCGTGTGAACTTTGTCAAATTCCTCCACAATCGGCCAATTCCTACACTTCCTCCACTTCCTCAACTTCTTCCACTTCGTCAGATCGTCACTTTCTCCAGTTCTTCATTTCATCACTTCGGCCCACTTCCTCCCACTCCTCCATCGTAGACTTCGTCAACTTCGTCCACTTCAAAACTTCCTCAATTCGTCCACTTCTTCGACTTCTCCACTGCGTCCAATTTTCACTCATCCCCACTTCCTCCACTTCTCTACTTCCTCCACTCCTCCACTTCTCCACTTCATCCACTTTTTCCACTTCCACAATTCCTCAAACTTCGTCCACTGTCCTCCACTTCCTCCACTTCTATTTCCTCAACTTCGGCCACTTCCTCCACATTCCCTCCACTTCGTAGACTTAGTCACTCGTTCCACTTCCACAACTTCCTCAACTTCGTCCACTTCTTCGACTTTCCACTTCGTCCACTTCCTCACTTCATCCACTGCCTCCACTTCTTCCCACTTAATTCCACTTTTTACACTTCCCCAACTTCCTCAACTTCGTCCACTTCCTCCACTTCTACCACTTCCTCCACTTCCTACACTTCCTTAACTTGCTCAACTTCGTCTACTTTTTCCACTTCCACATTTTCCTCAACTTCGTCCACTTCCTCCACTTCCTCCACTTCCTTAACTTCCTCAACTTCCTCCACTTCCTCTACTTCCTCCTCTTCGTCAACTTTGTCCACTTCTTCCACATCGTGCACTTCCTCCACTTCCTCCACTTCCTCCACTTCCTCAACTTCTTCCACTTCGTCAAGATCGTCCACTTCCTCCACTGCTTACTTCCTCAAACTTGGACCACTTTCAAATTTCGTCAACTTCTCCACTTGTCTCTTGGTCCGCTCGTTCCACTTCGTTCCACTTCCTCCAATCCTCCACATCCTCCACTTCGTCCAATTCCTCCACTTCCTGCAACTTCCTCAAACTTAGTCAACATGGTCCACTCATCAACGTCGTCAACTTCCTTACTTCGTTCCTCTTGGTCCACTTCGTCCACGTCTTCCACTTCCTCCATTCCTTCCCACATCCTCCACTTCGTCCAATCCCTCAACTTCCTTCACTTCCTCAACTGCGGCACCTTGGTCCACTTCCTCAACTTCGTCACTCCTCCCCTTCCTCCACTTCTCCCCTTCCTCCACTTACTCCATGTTCCTCGAGTTCCTTCAATCGTCAACTTCCTCAACTTCTGTCACCTTCCATCTTTTCGTCCCCTTTGTCCACTTCCTCCACTCTCTACAATCCTCCACTTCCTCCACTTCGTCAAATTCTTCAACTTATCCCCTTCCTTCACTTCCTCAAAATTCGTCATGATAACAGTGCAAACTGAGTATTTTGATGCTTAAAATGATACTAAAAGGCAACCTTTAACATCAGAAAATAGCTTGAAATATTGTTTGGTTATATTTTCAGAAATAAGAGAGCTGGACAGGTTATGCTTGGATTTCAGGTTTTATGAAGGTTTTAAGGTGAATTTAGTGAAAGAAGTGAAGAAGGATAGAAATGGAATCAGAAAAGACATCAAAAAGTGCAAAAGGAGAAGTCGAAATTACCGCTGAGTGGCAGTTTACCGCTGAGCGGCACTCAGGCAATCATGGTGAATCCGGTAAGGGGTAAAAAGGTCGTTGAGGGGAAGAAAACAACTCCCGCACTACAGTTTGAGCGAAACGATTTTGGGCTTGGGCAAGTTTTTATATATTTAGACTGTAGTATATAAGCTTTAGGACGAATTGAGGGTTTGTATCTTTGGTGAGACGGAAGCAACCAACTCACTTTTCCACCCCTTGAGGAAGAGATCTTGGATGCTCAGGTACCTCCTCCTCTTTCAAGGGTTTTATCTTTCATTATTTCATTATTGTATCTAGTTTCACCATGAATATGGTGAAACGAAAAGTGTATGTTGTTGGGAATGTCAATGTAGTCTTGTGAAACTCTTCATATATGGAATTTTTTTTAAATCTTACTTTAAGACTTATGCTTTCTTTCATCATTAGTTAGGGTTTTTCTTCTTTGCGTAAAGCTTGCTTTGTTTAACTCATTCATTGCCATGATTAGTGATTTTGTCGATATGGGAACGTATGGGGAAATCTAGATCCGGGGAATTTCTCCCAATAGCATATTGGTTGCCTTTAAGCTTCTGCACTTAGATTAAATTACTAGGATGCTAGGAATTGTATGAACTCGTAATTAAGGATAGGCCTTCTTGCAAGGTGATTTTTTAGAGAGTGACATTAGTATTGATGAAAAGAATTGATGAATTCCTAAAGTATATGAGAGTGGATAGATGAAATTGATAACCTAAACAACAGAACTCATCCATCTAATTCATTGAAGTGTTTGTATTTTGTTTTTATCCATTGATCAAATTCATGCATACATATTTAATTATTGTCTTTTGCATTTAAACCTACAGTCAATTTGTTCTTAAGTCTTAAATAATCAACAAATCATATACCTAAAATAGGCTGTGAGTCCTTTGGGAAGGAAGAACGATACTTGGTATTACCTTGTTATATTACGTGATACGATCTTTTGGATTTGTTTTTTTTTTGGTCACACTGCCGTTGTTAAAACAAGTCATGTGGCGCGCTTTCGGTGTTCATAAATTTGTCATCTCACTTCGTCACTTAGTCCCCGTCGTCCACTTCCTCAACTTCGTCAACTTCGTCCATTTCGTCCACTTCGTGCACTTCGTCCACTCCTCCACTTCCTACACTTCCTCCACTTCCTCCAGTTCCTCCACTATGTCCACTTCATCCAATTCCTCCACTTCGGCCACTTCCTCCACACCTCCACTTCGTAGACTTCGTCAACTTCGTCCACTTCCTCCTGTTCCTCCGCTTCCACAACTTCCTCAACTTCGTCCACTTCTTCGACTTCCTCCACTTCGTCCACTTCTTCCACATCCTCCACATCCTCCACTTCCTTCATTCTTCCACGCATCCACCTGTTCCACTTCAAAACGTACTTCAACATTCGTCTCCACTTCCTCCTCTTCCTCCACTTCCTCAATTCCTTAACTTCCTCAACTTCTCCATTCCTATACTTCCTCCACTTCGTCAACTTTGTCCACTTCCTCCACATCGTACTTACTCCACTCCTCAAACTCTTCCACTTAGCCGGCATCGTCCACTTCCTCCACTTCTTCACTCCTCAACTTCGTTCAACTTGGTCACTCCTTCAACTTCGTCAACTTGGTCCACTTCTAAAACTCGTCACCACTTCCTCCACTTCTCCACGTCCTCCACCTTCCTCCACTTCCTTACTTCCGCAAACTTCGTCAACTTGGTCAACTTCCTCCACTCCTCCACCTGACACCTCGACTTCCTCCACACTTCTTCGACTTCCTCAACTTCTCAACTTCGTACACTTCGTCCATTCCTCCAGTAGCTCAAACTTCGGCAAACTTCGTCAAACTTTGTCCTTTAGTCCCACTTCATCCACTTCCTCCACTCTTCAACTTCCTCAACTTCGTCCAGTTCGTCCCCTAGTCAACTTTAAGAAACTTCTTCATAAAAACATTTAAGAAGTCATTCACAACCACGAGGTTTACACTCCGATTCTCCTGTGCCGCATGATCCGAAACTTGAGTCGCTTCCATAGACGATAAATCTAAGAAACAACTATCATCTTCCAGGAGGTCTTGCCTCAAGACACTGATCGACAAAGAAATACCTTTTTCTTTATCAGGAAACAACATCTCCTTACCACCGCAGTCGACGAGGATGCGATTGGTGGATAGCCAATCCATTCTCAAGATTACTTCTAATCCTTGCAAAGGTAAAGAGATGAGGTTTACCTTGAACCGACGTCCCTTTATGACAATCGGATAACGGACACACACAGAAGACGTCCCAATTAATCCTGATGCTGGTGTAGACACCAACAGATCAACGCCTAACTCTTCTACAGACATACCCAACTTTTCAACACATGCCTTCGCTATGAAGGAGTGTGTTGCCCCCAAATCAAAAAGCACAACAAAGGCACACCAAGAAGTAAACAACTACAGATGAGGATGTTACTTGAGCTGACTGCCTCAGATCCAACCATGGCGTAGACTCTGCCCACCGCCTGAGATCTACCACCTCCCCTGGGTGGAGGCAAACCAGTCCTCTGTGCCTAAGACCCTGATCCTATTGTAGGAGTACCTTTGCAGCAAATGTGTGCCCCTTTTCCCGCATTGACAACACTTCTTGTGTTAATTCCCATAGGGTAGTTTTATGATAATGAGGTCCTCCAACAGGCATAACATCTAACGATGTCGATGGGCCAGGCTAGTCACGACTGCACCGATGGGTTGATAGGATGAACCCTTAAGACCCAGAAGAAAAGGAGGGTCTAGCGTAAAGGGGTCTTCTTAATGCTAATTCCACCCATGAGATCCAGATGATCCCCCATTCCTAACAGGCGTGATTCTGCCGTCCCTCAGATTCCCTCTTCGTCTTCTATAGATCACGGGACATCTCCACCAATGTAGGAACTCTCTGATGCGTAAACCCCTTTACCAGGGCAACTTGATATCACTCCTCAAGCCATTCTCAAATTTTCTGCATTGTCACTCTTCATCCACTGCCATAGTGTTGAAGCGAAATAAATGCTTGAAGCGATCTGCATACTCTGACACTGATCTGTTGCATTGTGCCAGCTCTAGGAAATTCCACTTCCTTTGCAAATCTCACACTGTCCGGAAAGTACTCAGTGTAAAAATTTGGTGTTAAACAACTCCCAAGTAATAGGAGTCCCACTCCTTTCAAGGATCATCTTCATGCTGTTCCACCAATGGCCAGGGCTTCCCCGGTAAGCAGACATGAAGTATTAGGCTAATTCTTCTCATCCGGGACATCCCTGGCTTCAAATATCCTCTCCAGGTCTCCCAAAACCAGTGTCGGTTTATCAAGGCTGCACTTGCCAGTGAATCTAGCTGGGCGATGTTGGAGAAAGCTCTCCCAGCTCCACTCTTGCACATGAATAACAACGGAAGAAACACTTGGAGGGGTCCTAGTACTAGTCATCATTTCCATGAACTCCCTCTGAGTGTTCTCGGAAGACACTCTCGCGTTCTTTGCCGATACCCTTGCGGCTTCAAGATTTTGCAATGCAAAGGTATTCTGTTGAACCAACGCAGCATTCTGCTGCTGCAACGCCTTAGAGCACCGCATTTCAGCAATCTGATTAGAGTCAGTTGATCGACTCGTAGGGAAGAGAAGGATTGAGAAGACGTAGGTGCTATCTTCTGTTCACACAGAAAGAAAGACCCTTAGCTTGACTCAAACTAATACAATTTCCTACACAGGACTAGAGTACGCAATCGCAAACAATGCATACCCACAAACCTACAGGTTCTAAGGAAGGAACTGCTCTGATACCATTAAATGTAAATCTCGATTATATAATAACCAATATTATATAATATAGACGTCAACATCTAAATAAAGAGAACAGTCGAAGTATGACGTATAATCAAATGTGAAATTACAGTCATCCAGAAATAAAAGAAACATAAATTTAAACTTAAAGAGTTTAAAGGATTGAACACTACAAGTGTTCAAATGCAAAAATTCCTAAGAAGACTACACCACAACCTCAGTATCCTCCAGCTCTTGCTCCAAAGGAATCTCCTCGACAACATCTGCTCCCATCCAAGTGTATGATGATCGCATCGCCAAAGAAACATACCCAAACAGCACACAACACAAAACATGTTATTATACATAGATTCATATAAAAGAACAATTAAGGCATGCTCATTAAACCACGACTCACACACTCACACGACTCATCCGGATTTGTATAACTGTTGAACTAACAGTCGTCTTTGCACTTGCCTAGTTCTATTGGCCCTCTCCAACACTAGCAAGGTAAATCCCCAACCTGCCTATCTCTGCCATTACAGGCTATAGACGAGGATGCACTTGCATAGTTCTGCTGGCCCTCTCCAACACTAGCAAGGTAAATCCCCAACCTGCCTATCTCTGCCATTACAGGCTATAGACGAGGACCTCCCTCTACTCTCACCACTGACACTATTCTTCTCTATGTGAGCATGAACAGTGCTTTGAGTGTAGGGATAGACAGACCGATCCTCAGTTCACTACAGTTATACAGAACAACCCCAACACCACATATCACTTTCATCCATTTCTCCCCGAGATGTCCCAATCATACTCAAATTCATCATTTACCTTCACAATCATATTATCACGGTAATTTATCATATCTCATGCATTCACATATTTTTCACATAAATCACATCAGACTATATATTCAAAACATATTACACACTTAAAACAAGAGCAAATATCCTTGGAACCGAACACTATTTGCCGAGCTCTATTTGGACGAATACTATTTAGCCGAACACTATTCACCGAACGCCATTAACCGAACGTTATTTAGAAGAACACTATTCGGCCGAACGCTATTTACCGAATGCCATCTGCCGAACGCTATATTGTCGAACACTATACCATCTGGACAGACGCTATGAGATCCAACATAATCAGGCCGACCGTTAAAACGCAGAACACTATAATGACCGAACACTCTTAGAACGAACACTGTGAGATTAAATCATACTAGGCCGAACGCTCCAAACCAAACACCATATTACATCAAACACTATTAGGCCGAACGCTATGAGATTGAACACTATTGGCGCTATAACCGAACACCTCACTGGATTAAACACTACTCGGCCGAACGCTAAAACCGAACTCCACATTCAAATCGGATACTTTCTGGACGAACGTTAAGATCGAACTCTTAGGCTCGACATTAAAACACCCCACGCTATTAGACCGGATACCATTAGGTCGAACACGCTATTATACTCACTAATACATGTAACATCCCAAAATACAGTAATAACCATAAATTAGAATTAATTACATTGCATAATTCAAACAGTGCAGTCTTTACACTATAAATAATGTTCATAAACCTAACGGCTTTGAGTACAGAAATTTACTACAAAACTACAGAAATAATAAGAGTCAGGGACGAACGGTTTTACAAAACCAAATAACCGAACGTTCAAAGATCAAAACTAATAAACTAACATCTAAACAAACGAACGCTCTAGGGCTCGGCCTTGACTTCCACGTCTACCAGATTCTCCTCTTCAATAACATCTTCTAGCAATGCCTCGCCTTCTGCTCACATCCACACGGATGATCATTGCATTGACAGGACGGACGTACAGTGACGAGAGACAACACAAGGAAAACACAGGGTAAGCTTATTGAATTTAATTCAAGTAATAACATGCATTTCATAATACATCAAACATAACGAATAATTCACCACATATAATTCAATCAATTCTATAACTCAATCAATTCCTAATACTAGACTGGCTGTCCAGACTGTATGAATTCTGTGTAGCTATGACGTTCGTGCACCCGGGTGGTGTGGTAACTGGCATCCTCATCAACTGCCACCCGAGGTTAGTCCGTTCCGTCCTAAGTACATTTAAGGACTAGGACCTCCTGCCGTTCCCACACATGACATACTCCCCTCTACGTGAGGACGAGCACTCACGGAACATCAGGATGAATCGCCAGCTAAGCTTTGTCCACATTCATACTTTACAAATTCCAACTTTCATCCAAGAGTCGTTCCTCCCTGGAACGCTCGTTCAAAATACACAGCCATTATTTCATCTCATATACTGTTCATCCTTTATAACCTTTCAATTTAATATCATTTTCTTCATCAGATCCAAGTTCATAAAATGACGAGCGTTCAGCCCGCTTCATAACACTGACAAACGTAAAAACACGAGACCGAGGAATCCTCTTTTCAGAACAGAACAAAATCGACACATATTATTTGACGAACGTCATTACAAATTGAATCAGTTAAATGAACTGACTCTAGGAAGATCTGATCAATACTCAGAATAAGTTAAGTATCAAGGCTCTAGGTCGAATCCAGATGGATAGAAACACCACTAGACGAGTGAGCGACCATACTGAGAACAATGTAATTATAGACACTGACTGCCAGTCAATGACCGAACGCGGTACGTACTTACTGAAAGTTTGGACGAACGCTATTTCCAACCATTTGGTAATTAAAGGCCAGGACGAGCGTTCGGTATAAGACCGAGCGCCACTCATAACGAACGCTTTGGGTCGAGACCCATCACTGATTCGAATTAAAAATAGAAATTTATATAAGACGAGATGATAAAGTTAGATTTTTAAGAATGACTAAGTGTCCGAATGTATATTTTCAAGCTTCTCAACTCCTCACTTAACACTCAGGGCATCTACGTTTGGCCAAACGCTCAAACGTAGGACTAATATAAGAGGGTGTTCGTCCTCAACTGGAATTCTTTCCGAATGAAAGAATCAAATTTCAAATAAAGTTTAATAACAACACCGAACGGTCAAGGACCGTTCAATGACGAACGTACTTTATCATAGGGAATTTCATACTTAAAGATTCATTTACATTTACTCATTTTCAGCATATACATTTCATACTTCCAAATACTCATACCATAGTTCATCACATCTTCACCATACATCAGTTCATACTTATGACCATATATATCAAAATCAAATATCACATATCATGCTTCATGCAAATCACAGAACATCCATACAGCACAATACAACATACGAATTAAATTGAATAAGCTTCCCTTACTTGGATCAGTGGTGAACGTCCTAAGAGTATGATTTTGTTTCGTCCAACTACAACTTTCTACCCTCAACGATTAAGTCTAACCATAAAATAAAGAAGAGCTTAGATGTTATCCCTACATGCATCCAAAACTGGGTTTTGCATGTAATCTAAGAACGAACGACCCGAAACGAGAACTTACCAGTTTCAGAATCTGGATCTGTTCGGTCCAAATTTGAAGCTTAAGGCGTCGGGAGTACTTCTATGGTTTCTGAGTGATGA